AATCAATAAATATCGTTGGTACTGACAATCACCACGATTAAAATACCTATTTTATACACACGTTGAGCTCAACGCTCTCCCATAGTTTGCTTATGACTGAATCATCATTAGCTCTTTTTTATTGAGAAATTGCACAATTATTTCATGCTTTTCACATAATTATTTCACATTTCGACAGTTATGTGTGCGCAAAACGAAATGTAACCAAGATGGCGGACGTCGCTGCCAAACTTYCCTAGAGTAAATAGCGTTATGCCTTCTTTATAAAACTGTTTCTCACATATAAACGATTTTTATAAATGAATATACAATATATTATTGGTAATACCCTGAAAATTCAATATGAAGTTTGTTTTAAAAGTGAACAACAATAGGAATATATTATAATACAAAAAATGATACAAACAAAATCATTTTCACATCACACAATCAGAAATACTATCATTACAAGCGCATATGGTAATGTTAATCAACGGCTGACTCGTCCCCAGTCGTTCTCTCCTATCTCGCGCGCGAAAAGCATCAATTCGAGCGAGACACTAGAAAAAAAGGCGCGAGAGATGACTGGGGACGAGCCAGAATCAACGCCAAATAAATGTACATCACCAACCTTCTTGAAGAAAAACCAAAAACGACAATCGTTACAAGACTAAACAACAACAAGACCAACAAYGCTTATTAATGCCAAGGTCACTGGACAACTGTACAGTTCCGCTTGTACAACGGGTAGATAACATTTGATTTAGTATGGATTTTATTCGCTGTATAAGGATTTATACGGTGGAAAACGCTATTTCCCCGTCGTACAACCTACTACAGAAGAACATGTGCAAAGAAAACGGTGATAGAAGAAGTATCCACTACAAGAGCCATTATGAGGCCCGTTCGATGGACTCCCCCCWAATAAATGGGGGAGACCTGGGAACAAGCCATAACCAGAACGTAGGGTTCTGGGAACGGGAATGCGGCTGTGAAAGGAGACTAAACAACAAAAACAATGGCAGCAACAGCAACAACAATGTAAAAGCAACAAAGATACAAGTAGTAGATATAAAACAGCGAAAATTTCAGAAACATTTTAACGACAAGAAAAAACAGCAACAGCACCAAAACAAAGTATTTCTGTATAGTATTTATGGATTGTCACTAACTAAACTGTTTAAATGTTGATAGCATCAATTTAAGTGTCAGGCTCGGATTGACTTTCAATTTCAAACTCTGTGATYAACATCCTGTGATCTGAGATGTTGAATTCCTTTGGCCAAGTCTAAAACCCCAAAGAAGAAAAGACAAAGTGTTACATAACGATAACTAGTATGTTAGGCTTTTATCACAAACCACCCTCTGACCTCAACTGAAGTCTCATTTACTGATTATATAACTCAATTTCTAGTTSCATTCTAGATAATTTTGATTGACATATGTCAAAGTGTGTCCAGCCAATTACTGTAAACAGTGAAATAACAAAGAGATGTACATGTACCTGGTCAGAGTATTTTTCTGGTATTAGAGTAGAAGATATAGGCTTGATAGTTTGACTGCCTGAATTCCTGAATATGAAAAGAATAGTATGTGAATCAATCAATTCATCAATCAATCAATTGATCAATCAATCAATCAATCAATCTTGAAATCAATCAATCATTCAATCAATGAAACAATTAACCAACCATCCATTCAATCGATCAATCCTCAAATCATATGGTCAACCAACCAACCAATCACTCAATCAATCCACAAATGAAACGATGAACTAACCAACCACTCAATCGATCAATACTCCAGTTTCGAATTCAAAGCGAATAACCGCTGTTTTACTTGACAGCAGATTCAATTACGCAAAGAACTTACCAAAGACAAAAGAAAGCATGAGAAAATGTTGTTAATACAATAGAGCGCTARRAATCTACATTTTCCCCGAGTTGAGGCTARCCCTGCTCATACCTTAGGTCTTATGGGAATACAGGGATAATATCAACTCAGGGAAAATGCAAATTTTCAAGTTTATTGTAATAACGACATTTTCTCGTGCGCTCTTTTGTGTTTGTAAAGTCTTTGCGCAAGAGAATCTGTTGTCAAATAAAGCAGTGGTTATTCTCTATGAATTCGAAACTGGAGTATTAATCAGACAATCGATCATTCAATCAAACTATCATTCAATCAACTAATCAATCATTCAATCAATCAATCTTTACCTATAAAATACATAATCAACAGACATTTCCTGACCAGTGTGGTCCTTATGAGTGACAAGTGGTTCTCTTCCATGCACATTCTTAAATGACGACGTAAAACCATTTTGGCAAACATATTTATAAACAGGGTTTTCTTGTGGGCTGTTAAAATCTCCACACAAGATTACAGGCGGTGCTTCAATGTCATCCCTGCAAGAGAAGGGATAGTTTCTAATGCTTTATCAATAATTGACCCGGGAAATATAATGAACAATTTAACTGCTTCTGACTAAAATATGTATTTAGGTCTTACCTTTCCATATAGCTATTTATTCCATCTACAACTTTTTGTGCTTGAGACTGGAGAATGAATAAAGATTTTTAAATCTCAAAAGTTGTTTACATGCACACTCAAGAACTCTTACTGTTACACCAAAAATAACAGCAATAGATAGCACATACCATTCGGACATATTGATCAAAAAAGTTGTGGCAATAGGATAAATGAGTTGTTGTTAATATAACCTGAAAAAAACATTAATAAATTGAATGAAATTTTTATATAATGGATTTAACTCATGTATAAAAGTCATGCAGACATGACATCACACACAGGGATCTCAGTAGAAATAAATTTAAAGTAGATGTCAAAATAGGAAAAGTACCCGTCAAAATAGGAAAAGTACATCCAAATAATTTGCGAATAAATTCGTAAGTAGCCAGCGATTAACTAAGCTAAACTGGCGATTTTCGCTGGCTGCTGGCTTCTACTGAGAACCCTGCACACAGCAGTATTTGGTATTTGGCCACATCAGCAACATTATTATTTCTCATGTAGACATACCTCATACCCATTGTCTGGTAATTCTAAATGTAAAAGTAGAGCGACTCTGTAACCATAGTCATTAAACCTTAAAGACTGTGTTGCAAGGATCCTGAAATAACAGAATTTACATTCAACTATTTCAACTAATTGTTCATCTGCTTTTTGATTGGAAACTTTACTATATAGGATGGCATTATCTTATGGCAAATATTTTCCCATCTAGCCCTCTAACTCAATAAACTGTTACATATCATGATTATAGATATAATCTGTTATCATTCACACATTACAGTAACCTTAGAGATCTGTCAACAAATATAGCCAATCCATCTGTYTTCTCTCCTTGTCTTTTTAACTTGATAATTTTATATCTGTAACAAATCACACAATTTTAAAAATGTAACATGTATATAGTCTTACTTTGGTCGACCTCAGGCCCTTAAGCTTACGGGTCAGGTCTATAATGTCAGGGTCTTAGCTTTTTAGACCCCTTTTAAGCTGACAAGATGCATACAAGCAAGTGTACATTGTACATGTACATAATATTGATTACCTATCACCTAGCTTATTTTCAAAYAATTCCAATGCATCACTATTAAACCAAAACTCTTGCAAACATATGGTGTCCAGTTTAGGTTGTTGGGAAATTAGYTGGATGATTGACTGCAATCTCTCCATATATAGGTTAGGCTGTGAACTTTCCCATTTGCTATACTGGCCTCTGTGAATAAATGAAAACAAATGAATGAAATGGGAATGGAATAAGTGTGATGTATATAGTAGAAGATTAAACAAACTATTTTCAGTTGTCTAATCAATACTATTACGTAGTAATCAGTAAAACTTGTTTCACGGATCAACTGCGTCCAAAAATATCAAATTTAAGCTTAATAGGTTAAATTACAACGAAATTCACCATGATCCTCCTCGGTGTTCATTTGACCGCCAAAGATTATTGGATTTCGTGTAAACAACAAAAGCACTACAAAAGTATCTCACAAACAGCTCATTAAAAATTCTATAATTCCCTGCGTTGTGATAAGCTTGCGTCAAACATTGCATTTTAAAAAACATCGACTCACTCTAATCGCCGGTAACATGGAGCCAAGATGTTAAACGTTGCACATCTAAATGAGACCTTATTTGAAGCAGCCGCCACCGCCATCTTGGAGAGCAGTATCGGGGCCAGGAATTTGATAGAAAAACGAATCATAAATATAAAATCCCATTGTTAAAAAACATCTAAAAAAGAGAAAAATCGTCACGTCGGAAACGGTGACATTTCGACATAATAATATCTACGCATGCGCAGTAGTAAACAGCACAGGAAACCCTAATCTTGTAATTCTAGTAAATAAATATTTGAAAATCAGAAGAATTCAGAATATTAAAAATAAATGTAATTTAGTATGATTTTGTTTCATTTTTCAGGGTAGAAATTAAAATTGTAAAAACGAGGGAAATACTGCGTTGCCCTATATTATTGGGCTTCCTGTTATTAGTCACCAGTGTTATTGATCAGCAGTATCACCTAAAAAATAGCATGATACTTCATTTATTGAAAACATTTCGTTCACTTGGGATGAATCATTACAACTAGACACATACTTTTGCTCACATGAAGTAATACGCTTTATCCAAACTTTCAAATGTCTAGCGCGCTAAAGTGCAAAGTGCGCGAAAATTGCGCGTAGAAAATGATATCTTTTGGTGGTCAACATCCAAATTTATAGAAAATGGATGCATTTCTTCTCAAAGCTTACGATTTATGTAACATTGGAGGCTCAAAAGAGGTAACATTAGCAGAATTAACAAATTGTATTACCAAAATTTTTGGTTAAGACGGTGGCTAAGTGGGAACTTGTGTAGCGCATGCCATACACAAGGGCTTAGGCCTGCAGTTGTCGCAAAATGAAATCATAGGTCAGTTATAAGTTATAAGTGGACTTCTATGCTACCATTCTACATTCCCCTCCCTGATTTTGGTTTTGACTCGTTGACTSCCCCTCATAGGCAGAATGCTAAGGAGACCTGAGCTAATGATATTATCAACAGCTGAGCCCATCTACCGATTCCTCATCGTAGAAAGATGTTTCAGCAGTAACAACTCTCTCATGGACCATAATCTGAGAGCATCCATATATAGGTTGGGTGGGCTGGTATTATGGGAAGATAGTAAGGGAAGCTTTTTTAATGAGGTTGTCAATTATGCAATGGAAAGGGACAGGATGATTAAAGGACCAAGGACTCAGAAAGTATAAAATTGTCGCAAATGCATGATTGTGCATCAATAGCTTACTGTATAACCATTTTAGCTGCTCTTTTTTTCTGCACTTTTCAGTGTTGTTAGGTTATCACACCTGTTTCCCACCCTTCCCCCCATTGGAAAACCTTGGCAAAATTATGCAATCTTGACAATCCTTCTTYGTTTTTCTTTGTACATATGTATAGGAAAAAGAATGGCTTCAAAGGCTTGCTAACCAAATCCAGACRTACATTTGTAAGGATTCTTCTAGTCAAAACAATTTCGATATTTCATTGTCTGTATTGGAATGTCTTACTAATCTTAAAGCAAAGGCAGGAAARACTGACGAGAAKGAAATCAGTACARCTAATGATGCTGCTGATTATGGTGGTAGTCAGGMTGAAAGARTTGATAACGAACCTGATAATGACGATGTTACTGAGKCACACAGCAATGCATTATTTGAATTACTGTGTGTCGCGGATTTAATCAAGAGCAAAGATATAATTGCTGGACAAATTGCTGTTGCTGGCAATAACGAATGCATACCAAGTAGCTTGGAAGAATTGAAAGGTACATGTTAAAAGTAMCAAATCTGTATCTTGTCTGTAAAACTAGTTTCRTTTTATTAAACCTCCTCAGTTACAAGATTAACATTCGTTGTGTACGTTACTTTAAATATGCATGCATGCTCACCGATAGCGTGCGCTAACCGATGGCGCAAGTGTAATCTTTCTTATAACTTTTAGATTGCAGAACATTAGTACCAAGAGCCCCGTCATTCCTTCTTGGATATTTAAGATGTTGTCCATCTCAAATTACGTTGAAAGATACTCCATTGTGTGGCTCTCTGTTTCTTGAAGACAACTCTGGATGCTTGCCCATTGAGGTGAGACAATGCAACATTGCTATCTGTTTTCCATTTAGTTTTCTTTTATTGCTCTTGTGTGCAATTTCCTTTTTTATCAATAGCACAGTGATACTTTCTGATTGAATGTCACGTTGTAAAATCTGACTGTGCAGTTCACATAGTACATGTAGCTCCTATCTAGTGGATAACTTCACCCACTTGTTTTTATACAATCCTGTGTACAACATACTTGGAAATCTATGGGGTGATGAGCTGGGTGTGGAGAAATTGGGAGAGGAGAAACTTATTTCCCTGTTATATTCGCTTTGAACAAATCTACCCTACACCCTCTTAAACAGCCTCTGGGTTTCTGCCATTTGTGCAATAGTTTTTCTTTCTGGTAGCATCTGGATTTTCTTAGCTTATTGTTGATAAAACCTTAGTTATGGCTTATGATTGAAAAATAAAGAAAATATTTATTCATAAAATATTCTTTGTTACAGGTATTCAATCCCGATCAGTCATCTTTAGACCAACTTGTCATTCTTCCAAGCTGGACATTTGTACCTCCTCCTGACCATTTGCACCAAAGTAAATTTCTAATATTTTACCATTGTTCTTGACTGTTAGGAAAGAAGATGCTTACTACTGTTTAATAGTCTCCTTTGTGGTTTCATGTGCCGCTTAAAAGGTAGCTGTGCCTTTGCATTGAAGAAAGAGGACGACCATTAAGCCTGCAATAGATAGATACCTGTGAATAACTGTGTTTAGGTGTGAAAGGAGGTTTCTATCATTGCACGCTAAACTTTTATCTTGCTTTGATGCAAAGGCATGGCTACCTTTCAATATGCCGCAGGGAACCATGAAAAATACTATCATTAATGTTCTATAAAATGAACAATATCTTACTTGAAAAACAAATTTTAACCAGGAGCTATTGCGCTGCATATTCTTAAAATCTTGTGACACAAATAACATGGAACTTGTCTGTCAAGTAGGTGTGATATGATCGTCTGGGTGTGCAAAGTCTTGACAAAGACTGTTATAGTTACCTATGTTTCAACATCCTGCATGGAAACCATCTTCAGATATATACTGACTCTGTCTGTTCATTTTATCACTCTGAAGAAAACTTTCATGCAGGATATGGAAATGCCAGGTATCTATAACAGTCTCTCTCAAGACCTCTCACATCAAGACAATCATAGAGCGGATTTTGTATGAGTGGGACACCGTTACCGCATGGTTACTGCACAGTTACCGCTCCTGGCCTGCAGAATTTTGGTGAAACAATGGGGCACTAGAATTTGGTTACAGTATGATTACGGACACAGTACAGTACCGTCCGTTTCCCACTCATACGAAATCCGCTCTATCACACCTACATTGCTTATACCATGTTTAGACCATTCATTCTCGAACTTGTCTATAGACAGCTCTAACAGTTGATGCTTTTTTCTCCCTTGTATGCTGATAATGTAAAGAGTTAAGACTTTTGAACAATATTAGTCAAAATTATATAGTCTTTTATTATTGTTCTAGGTTGTCACACTTCAACTTGTCTTGAACAACATGGATACATTGAAGCAAACGAAGGGTGTCTTCCAGTGCTAGCGAAAGTTGATAATGCAAATCTTAGTTCATTGATTGCTCCTCCGTGCCTTTCACTTACTGAATACCAGAACCATCAAAGGTAGATGCCCAATGATCAATAAATAAATAAATCAGTCAATCAATCAGTTGTGTAAAAAGATAAATTTGACACCGTAAAAAAAGTATGTGAAATAACTTACTGACGTTTCGGACGTTAATCCTTCGTCGGAGTAAAGAGATGGAACTAGGTATAGTGTGAGTTTATATAGTAAGAGTAGCAAAGAAAATAGACCAATAGGAGCAAGGTAGGCATGGTAACGAGAAATAAACAAGAGAAGCAAAGGAAGTGTTAGACAAAAGAACAATAAAGGTCAATCAATCAATCAATCAACAGTTGTCAGTCAACATTATAAATAGTGCACCCAGTTCTGATATATACATTAAGTAAATTGCTTTATTATTTTTTTCATTGTTTGATACAATTTATTAATTTAAATTGTGTAGTCTAAATACTAAAATAATATTTTTTATTGTCATATTTCTCAGTACTGCGAAACAAAAAGTAAACTTACATGGCAAAGTTACCGCTGTTAGTCCTGTTCATAGGTAAGGAAAGCATGACACAAGAAAGGCCATTCAATCATGGTCTCAATGTATTTACTTGAAGACACTGGGACATTCATAAAGAATATTCTTCTTCACGGCTCCCTGCACCATCTTAAAAGGTAGCTGTGCCTTTGCATCGAAAAAAGATGACTGTTGAGGGTGTAATGATAGAAACCTTCTTTCACACCTTACAAACATTATTATTGATAGGAATCTATCACTGCACGCTCAATAGTTAAAATCTCTCTTCAATGTAAACACATGGCTACCTTTTAACATGGCGCAGCGGCAGGGAACCGTGAGGGAGACTATTTTGCGAATAAGCTAACGGAGGGTCCTCCAAGAATCCCATAATTCCTCACAAAATTCAATATTCGATTATTCAAATGAAACCAGTCTTGCATATATGCATAATTATATTTTAGTACATGTATTAATGGTGGACTTTAGTGTATGATATGAAAAGCTTCTGCACTATGCATTACGGTATGTCAAATGACATGAAAATTTGTGCGTGTGAGATCTACAAGTATATACAACAAACAAATGATTTATAAGTAAATATATTAAATAAATACGTTGAGTACTGAATATACTAGGGATAGCATATTCCAAGACGAAGTGCATTATAATTTGCTAAATGGTATTACAAAATGACAATTATTATTTTTTAAATAACACAACACTTTTAAATTTCAAAGACATTTTTCGACTTTCATATAGCCATCTTCAGTTTTAATGTGATTACATTTTACAAAAGTGTTATGTTATATTTAAAAATTATTGCATCACTTGTGCTTTTACGCTCACTTAAAATGACAAATCTGTACTAAACTACTTTCCATTGGTGGATGGTACAGAGCTGGAATATAGTAACTTTGAAATTAAAAACTCTGCTACATTTTAAGCTCAGTGATATGCCGTCCAATGCATTGTGGTGTTGGATAACACTATGCTTCAGTATTCAACGTTTTCTGATAAAACTGACGCTTGGAACAATGAATGATATTGACAAGTTTCATACAATGTAATGTTCTCACTCTATCCTTAGTATGTTTGATGCGTCCAAGCCGTTCTTCTTCGTCCAGTTGACTTGTACACAAAGCTTAATTTGTACACCAATTGTTATCCAGGTAAAAATACTATTTCATACATCTATTCAAAATATATTTTGCGTACTAGAGTTGTTATGCAGGGTAACGTTCGTATTCCAAGACCGCAGAACAGTGCCACATTGCCTGCCACATTCATGCGCAATGCATTCCGAAATGTCAATTAATTTGCTTTGCATTTCTTATAAAGGCCCGTTTACACTTGTGATTTTTGCAGAGCGATTCTTGCGGCGATCGTCGCGCGACCATCGCCTGAGTTTCGAACATGTTTGAAAACTGGCTGCAACGTCGGGGCGATTTTCCATCGTCGCAGCAATCGCAAGGCTGTTTACACGTACATTTTGAGTTGCGCGATAACAAAGTAACGATTAGTGTAAAAAAGACTTAAATATGGGATTGTCACTCTGAAATAGTGGTAACCTCGTTTAGAGCGGTGATACAATGACTAACGACGCATTTCGGTACTCAAAATCACTTTCTTCAGACTCAGCGTTTTTTGAAATAGCTTCGTATGTTTACTAGAAAAAGATGTAAAGCTATGTAACGATATAAATCCTAAATCCTGGTCTAAGTGCGTAAGCTAAACGTCGTAGCTTACCAATTGGCATTGAATTCTTTGAATTAAGTACATGTAAAAGTAGGCCGTTTGACTCCATTGCGTTCGACTGAGCATTTGCTAACAACTGACTGTGTACGAGTTTCTGTTCAAAATGAAGAGTGCTTTTCATTCATAGCGCGTGAAACAAATTGTAATAATGAAAGTGCAAAATGATATACACTGAAAAGACAAATAAAAACGTGCAAAATAAAAAGCATTCTCTAAAGTATATTTTTCAGGTATATGAAAAACATCATCCTACTTCACACGAATTAATAAAATTGAATGTGGGGTTGACTAATCTGGTGTTTGACCCGAATTACACTGCGTTGATAATACGCAGAGGATAAAATGGTAAAAAGTTGATAATTTATGGAATGAATGAAAATGAATAAATAAATGAATAAATAAATAAAGGGATGAAAGAATCAAATTTATAAACTGACCTGAAATTCACTATTAAATGCGGTAAGTTCGAATACTTTTGTCAAATTATATTGTCCTGGTATAGTTTTGAATTCTCCTATTATATCTTTCAGGAAATTCCTCTTGATCATCTTCACCACTGCAGCAAGAAATGATAAAGTCTTTGTAGTGATCAAAATCGTTCTCCTTCACTCTCATTTCGATTTCTGCGGCCGCATCTTTGCACCATTCAGGAAGAGACATTCGGTAGTCGGGTTCGTTCTCATAGTTTGCTTTATACGGCTCTTCTTCAGAACTTATTGAACTATTGCTCACAGCGCCTCTTAAAAACTGAAGTTCAGGATCAGAGTCCAAGTCGGTCGTGTCCTCAAACTTTGGAACTGTTTCCAGTTTTTCTAAGATAATTCTCGATGGTATTTTTCGTCGTTTTGGAATGGGTTGTGATTTCGGCGTTGGTGGAACAATGAACGGGGGAGGTGCGGTCTTTTCCAAGTCGCGAAGGAAAGTCAAAACGTTCAATATTTCGTAGTTATAGTTTTGAAAATTCTCTATCTTTGTTCCAATTGGAGGTAAAACGGTGTACACATTGAGGTTGTTGTAGAGGTAGCGATACATCGTGAGCGACCAAACCGATATTGACTGGCGTTCGTTAGTTAAACGGCGATTTCAAATTCATAAAAAAATGGTCAGTGAGTTGATTTAAACGATATTTAGATATCATAGCCAATCAGAATGAACTTGTGTTTGTTATTTTATTGCATGAAAAACAACTCTTTAATTACGATGTATAATTAGCGGTTGGTAATTGCTAATTGCCGAAGCCCTAATTTGACACACACAAAAATAGCAAATAAGGATTTTCCTTCGTGGTCTGATTAACTTTATTTTCCAATAATTAAAAAACGTTAAAAAAGCCGACAACAACAGCGAATTTAAAAATGAAACAAATAAACAAGAGATGTAAAGAAACGATACAAAGAACCTGCTTGAACCCTTGTAAAAAAAAAAAACAAACAAAAAACATGTTTTACAAGAAAACAAACAATTTATTTAGCCTGCGAATGTCAATGGGCAATCAACATTGCCTAAATAAGCAATAACAATGATGATAATAATCATTATCACAATAAATCATTGATACTGAAATTGTATTTGAATTTAATGTAATTTCTAGTGTCCACATATCCTTTTTGGTTTTTCCACAGGGAGCCCATCTCATTCATCTGTTCCACTTTTTACAAGTCGACAGTGAATATATTTTCACAGGTTTAAGAGAAACCACAATGAATAAGGTAAGAATAACTTAACTACTGTTGTATTATTTTTGCTATCGCTAAAAACGATACATAGTTCCAGAGTAAAATCGCTGAAAACGATACCCTGGTTGGCGGCACGTCCCCATATAGCGAATATAGGGGAGTACCCCCCCGGGATTATGGCCGACAGTTCCCTGCTAGCTGAGTCTCTCTCGTTGTAGTTTCCTACGAGTACAGTATTTACCCGCTTATAAAACCCACTTTTTTTCAAATTTAGCCTAAACAGGTTTTTATGTAAATGGTGCTTAGTGGAAATTTAGGCTATGCAGGTTCTTAATATAGGTTCTTATTTATCCCTTATGTAATGAAAATCTACAAGAGTTTCAAAATTTTTTTATACCAAATTTATATATACATGTTCAAGTTCACTAGAGTTTGAGTATGTTTTTATTACATGAAGATTTTTGAGGTTACCATAATTTCTATAAGAACCTTTCTTAAAGGGACACTGTCAATGGATGACATGCGCGAGCAAACTTGAAAACACTAGGCTAGTGTTTTCAAGTTTATGACTCCAAGTTGTCGCGACATAAATCAGATCTTAAACGTATACAGATCTAGAATATTCCAAAGTGTGTCAAAAGCACCACAAAATGATTTACCTCGAAGGTTATACTTTCAAAGTCCGTTAGAGGTGAGACTGTTACTGCGCATGTCATCCATTGACAGTGTCCCTTTAAGAACAAATTGTAAACTTAAGGAATTGAAAAGGTCTAATCTGGGACGAAACTAGTTTTCCTTAAAATAAAGTTTCTTGGCGTGACTGTGTGTTAAAGACTTCACGTATTGGGTTTAATCCTGTCCAGCATTATGCCTTTAAGAACCTGTTTCAAATTTTAGACTAAATAGGTTCTTATGTAAATGGTGTCTAAATTGATAAGTACTGTAATCGATTACTCTTCTGAACTACAACGAGAGAGACTCTTCTGCAAATTGACCTCTTGTTACGTCTGCGCTGTTTATCCCCCATAGCGGGCTTTGTACCCGTCATGAGTAGTGATTGGCCAGATCGCAAGAGGCGGACATGCATTTCGCAATGGCCGAACGTGAAGCAGAATCAACAGCAAAGGCATAGCGAGAATTAAAATTAGTTTCTGAGTTGAAGCATTTGTGAATGTYAGTTATTCAGTGAGGTTGCTCATTTGATCTTGTCGATAAAAACGTGGTTTTACTGTGCCTAACAACGTAACAAGATGTCGAATTAGACTTCGGCACTCTGTAGATAGCCTGCGTACATCAGAGGTAAACGCAGGATGAACTCAGGCTAGCTGTAGACGGTCAAATAAATTTGCTTAGGAAAATTTTTACTAAAACAGGAAATATCTAATGAAACACATAAAAAAAACTTTTTGAAGAATGTTTGAATTATTAGTGTCATTAGTTTCTCAGTTTTGAAATGTGAAACGAATCTTTGTGATGAAAACCCAAGGAAAGACTTGTATTATTGTAGTATTTTCCATCCATGATGTAGACAAGTTTGATGAGCGCCAATTTTATAAAAACATCGTGCAGAACAACACCTCTGTTATAAGTAGTGATAATAATTGGAATCTTTTATTGTATAAAGAAGCATTTTTCATCAAACAAAACAAACCATCCTTAAACACTGGCCTCCGCGCCTTTCGAGAATTAACTTTGTTTAATTAATTCATCTATCCAGTAATATTGTCTTGTCTTTGCGCTTTTGTAACTATTAGCCTGATGATGGTTTTGCAATAAAACCGAAATATTGCTCTCATGTAATCTCCTATTCTATTCGATGTTGAATATCAATAATTTTAATATAGATAAGATATTTTCAGAAGCTAAACTATTTTTGCACAATATCAAGTCTCGTTTCAGCAAAATTTTCAAAACTATCAATTTTAATATTATCAATTTACTATATAATCGGTCTCTCATTCTTATATGTAATAAGACTCCATGCTGTCCAATTAAGAAATAATTGGACGAGGAAAATTCCGAGGACTGCCAAAAATTGGACGAGGCCGTGGCCGAGTCCAATTTGGCAGTCAGAGTAATTTTTCGAGTCTAATTATTTCTTAATTGGACAGCATGGAGTCTTATTACCTATTAATTATATAGCCACATATTGATCCCAAATAGGTAAAAGCCAACCACAGCTTTTAACAAAAACCCAATTGAAAACCTGTCCAATTAATTTCTTAATTGGACAGGATTCCAAAATTAACGAAAAATCCAGCTTTTACCTATTTGGGATTAATATGTGGCTATATAATTAATCCTATAAGACTTATATTCACACACTGATATTGTTGAAATTTGAGAATGCCACAAAGTGGTGATTGATAACAAGCTATGAAAACCCGGGAACGGATTGGAACGACCGGAATGGCGATCTATCTATTCCAAACAGTCGAGCGCTCCTTTCAATTGTTCACAACTCAATAACAATGCAAATGAGTGTTTTATTCAACAACAACAGACATCATTTTATAGCTTTTCATTGATTTATATGACACAGTTTAGATCAAAGTTTATGTGCTTGGCTGCGTCTTGTGAAATTCGACAATGACCACATTATGTTCAAGTAAGACTCCAGCCAACTCGTATGGGAAATTTTTTCTTGATAAAATCTTCACCTCCCAACCTGTCTTGCTTGCGATGCTCCTGAAAAGCTCCTCAGACCCCAAGCTAAACGAAAATGCAACGATTAGCCTTCCCTGCTCCTTCAGAAAGTTGCCCGCTTCTTGTAGGAATCGCATAAAACTTCTGTAGCCTGGGTCAAGAACACTATACAGCAAAGTTTCGACTTTAGCATCCTTGTCCGTTGACTGACCAGTCCATGGAAGATTCCAGTAAATCATGTCAAACTTCCTGCCAACGATCTCCTCGTTATTAAACACATCGGCGACAACAGCTTTGACTTTATGTTCCACTCCATGAAGTTTTGAATTTTGCTTTGCGTTGGCTACAGCAGCTTCGTTGATATCAGTCGCCCAAACTCGACATTTATCGGACGCCAAAGCGACAAGAACTGATGTGTATCCCGCTCCACATCCAACTTCGAGGAAATCGAAGGACGAGAGTTTCGCTAGTTCCTCTTCAATGGTCTTGTCCAGAACTTCGCTGATGTATTCGGTCATGTCCAGGCTTATGCTCGGGTGATAAACATCACTGTGGATAGCAAATTCCTTGTTGAGGATAGTTACTTGCGGAATTGTATTAGCAAATTCTCGCATTTCGTGAGACTTGAGGGTTTGTGCCTCTAGCTCGCTTATTTCACTCATTTTGAATCGTGTCCTTCGCTATTCTATGCTGGGCAGCTATGTGAAGCAATACCAAGTTGTGGCGAGAAAGTACACTCTCGACTTACTATAAGTACGTACTCGACCAATCAGGGTAGACCGGAAGCTGAACGTGAAAAGTTTGACCGGATGTTTGGAAATAAGCTTTGCGTTGAGTCTCACGTACCAGTCAGCAATCAGCCGGTAAAACAATTTTTTTTACAATTTAAAAACTTGTGAATGATAACCAATTGACGTTTTGCACTAATAACAAAGCCCAGTTGAATTTGTGATGTCCCTCAAGATACTGCAAAGAAACAATTCAATCTTTGAGATTGTTCGATTCTTCTAGATTGTTTGGTAATATCCGGATATTCACGCACCGCTGTTTGAAAAATACCATCAATTAATCTTGCGTTAGGTATTCTTTACGGGAAAAAGGCCTACATTAACAAAAATCGCTTATTTAAGAATTTGATCAGCTCTTTTGTGTGAATTGCGAACTTTGTCCCTTACTAAACATAAATGTTTGATAGTTGATACACGTTACCACCAAGAGGGACAAGGAAATCTCTAGATTTTTCTCTGCCATTATTATCAATGTATACAAATTTTGCCGCGATAATCACACGAAAAGGACGAGGCTCCTTGCATTATTAGCTTAGTCATTCTATAAAAGACACTAGTTTTTCACGATTGACCTAGTCTGCGTGGTGGCTTCTACCCTTGGTTCCAGAAGCAGTATTTAGTCTTCTCAAAGTTAAGAAGTCTGAGAAGAACATCCTGTTTACATAATGTATCTTGACAAACTAAACTTTTGATGGTCTTGACTACTCATGTTTCACAAAGCCTCGTTATTCTGGTGTGGCATATTTGCATGTGGAACAGATATTACATGGGCGCGCGGAGATACGAATAATATCACGGAAATGGCAGCGACGCCATTTTGTGCTGCAAAGCATGATAGTGGTTGTAAAACCCGCTAAAACATTCCTGAAGTGTTTTTACTTTTTCTAAGTCAAAATTGATGTTTCTTTTCATTTCTACAAAAAGGCCTAAAAAGGCTTTTAAGTAGGTGTTTTAGAGTCTATTATAAGTCAACTTCGTTCCCAAGGCCTTATCCCTTCGCTTGGGGTTAGGCGGGACCCTGACCCCAAGCGAAGGGATAAGACCCTGGGAACGAGGCTGATTATAAGTGAGGACTTGAATTACCATCATGCATTGCTGCACAAAATGGAGGCGCTGCTGATGACTCATCAGGCATTGGATTGCCTGTTAGTATCTCAAGAGTCAGCGCAACGTACGCGAGAAGATAAAATCCACATCTCCAAAAGAAAAGAAAAGAAAAAAATACGAATGCGCGAAAAAAGTTAGTTGGTTAGTTAGGCGGATGACTCCGTTAGTTAGTTAGTTAGGCGATGACTCCGCGAAAAAAGAAAAGAAAAAAATACGAATGCGCGCACGCTTTTATCGCATCGGCGCGAGCGCTTTGTGGATTACCTGTGGAATTACGTCATTCTTTTGATCCCGTCTGACTTTGTTGTTGTCAGCTTTATGTCTTTGCCACTGAACTGGTTGACTGTATATTTGCAGGGTACTAAAAATGAAAGGAAGATTCTAGCATCCACAAGAACAACAAAGATGTTGGTATACACTGATGGGAACCTTCCAACAACTAATACCAGAAAAAGAAAGACGACATTGAACGTGAACGACAACATTTCTTTAGTGAGTGCTTAAAATCTTTGGAAGAAAACTGCATGAAATTTTGCATGAAGTTTAATTGTAACATTGTTAAAGTCTTAAACGGCCATGGCCCACCGCCATCCCTCTCGAAGTTTTGTTTATGCCTAAAAAATACAAATACATCGTGATAAAGGCAAAAATTTCCATTTTCTTATCTCTTTATTCTCTATGCATGGATGCATTCTAAGATTTGACCTTACAGCCACCTCTTTAACATATATGGAAACTCTAAAACACGACCACATTGAATGCCGGGAGACCATGTCACTTCCATGATATAATATATATTTTAAAAAACATAATTTGAGGAAAGCACCAGTTATTCTTTGTTATATGTCTTAATAGGACATGCCACCAAAGCGCTCTAAAGGCATTACTGGAAACGCTCAATTGCCCACGGTACAAACCACTGACCAACGTAGCAAAATTGCAGGCTCGAGGACTGGGCAACCTAAAGTACTTTCATATAAAGTAAGATCTGTTATACATGGTCGCTCTTATAAGAATAACCAATGCATATTACAGTTGAACCTCCTTAATCCGGTCACCAAGGGGCATCAAAAAGTGACCGTAATGAAAAGTAYGARGRTTWAATTTACCGGGATATAAACTRRTWRAKGTCTGGCCGTTTTAAGTGGAGTGGTCGAATTAAAGGGGTTCCAMYGTATKCAAYGGAAGRAACGAAGGACTACGGATTCGGGGAATCGGAAAAGAGAATTGACTGAATAAAGTGATATTTGTGACTTGCAGGGGGTCATCACAAAG